CGAAGTAAGGTGATATTCTCACTGTAGTTTTGATTAGCATTTCTCTAACAATTAGAATGCTTGAGCATCTCTTCCTGTGCCTGTTGGCCATCTGTATGTCTTCTTTGGAGAAATGTCTACTTAGGTCTTCTGCCCATTTATTTTTTTTTATTGAGCTGTATAATTTGTTTGCATATTTTGGAAATTAATACCTTGTCGGTCACATCATTTGCAAATATCTTCTCCCATCCTGTAGGCTGTCTATTCGTTTTGTTCGTGGTTTCCTTTGCCGTGCAAAAGGTTTAAGTTTAATTAGGCCTCATTTGTTTTGCTTTTGTTTCCATTACTCTAGGAGATGAATCCAAAAACTATTGCTGTAATTTATGTCAGAGTGTTCTGCCTACATTTTCCTCTAGGAGTTTGACAGTATCTGGTCATACATTAGGTCTTTAATCCAGTCTGAGTCTATTTTTGTATATGGTATTAGAGAATGTTCTAATTTCATTCTTTTACATGTAGCTGTCCAGTTCTCCCAGTACCACTTATTGAAGAGACTGTCTTTTCTCCACTGTATATCCCTGCCTCCTTTGCTGCAGATTAACTAACCATGCATGTGTGGGCTTATTTCTGGGCTTTCTATCCTGTTCCATTGATCTGTATGTCTGTTTTTGTGCCAGTACCATGCTTTTTTTTTTTGCTATTAACAGCAACATTATTTCTAATTGTCAAGATATGGAAGCCTCCTAAGTGCATATCAACAGTTGAATAGATAATAGAGATGCAGTATATATATATACATATATATATATGTAATTAAATACAACTCACCCATAAAAAAGAAGGGTCTTTTGCCATTTGCAGCCCTTCACTCACTTTTTTCACTTCAAAAACCAGAATTTTATAACTGGCAGAGACATTTCCATTACATCAAAAACAACAAATATCTAGAAATAAACTTAACCAAGGAGGTCACCTAAACTCTGAAAACCAAAATGACACAAAGAAATGGAAAGATTTCTTGTGCTCTTGGACTGGAAGAATCAACACCATCAAAATGGCCACACTACCCAAAGCAACCCACTGAGCCAAGGCAACCCCCATCAAAATACTCGTGACACTCCTCACAGAGCTAGAACAAACAATTCCAAAATTTATAAGGGACCACAAAAGATCCCGAACAGCCAAAGCAATATTTTGTAGATCTCTTTTTTTCTTTTCTTTTCTTCTTGTTCTCTTTTCTTATGGTTTGATGACTAGAGAAGGTCCTTTAACATTTGTTGTAAAGCTGGTTTGGTGGTACTGAAATCTTTTAGCTTTTGTTTATCGGTGAAGCTTTTGATTTCTCCGTCAAGTCTGATCGAGAGACTTGCTGGATAGAGTATTCTTGGTTGTCAGTTTCCCCCCTGCATCACTTTAAATATATCGTGCCACTC